AATTAAAATAATCAATGAATTATTATAAGTATAAAATTAAATTAAATACGAAATGAACAATTTCAAAAATTATATATCAATTCCTTATATTTAATCTATTATCTAATATTTTCAATTTGTGGTAGATATGACATCAGCATGTGTCCCAATTTGTTATTTCGGTGAATTTCAAAATAATGAAAATGCTCAGTGGGAATGGAAATGAACGAGTGAAGAAGATGTGGTTAAAGCAATTTTTATAATAAGGAGTACATCATTTATAGAAATGTGCCATAAAATACAAAACATGCTTAACGTCGATCCCTCTCAGTACGATATGGAATTGAAATTTTTGTTTCATAAACATTCAACCATTCCGATTCCACCTATAAAAGTTACTTTTGAAGTGGAGATGAAGCATCTAATTAAATTGAATTAAGGCCAAAAGTCGACTCCTATTTGCGTAACTTTATTGAGGAAGAATGTCCCCGAAGGTGAACACAAAATTTCCGATAAAGAGAATCGTAATGTAAATAATGTTTAGGATACAATTCAGATTCTTCGTGAAGATGATGTGGTTATTCTCGAGACTACTATTACTCACCATAATCACACTGTTACGCACAGAATTCCAGCGGCAGTCAAAAACAACGAGAATGAAAACGTATTTACAAACGAGAATTTTATTGCTTTATCCCGTAGGAGATATGAGTCGGGTGGGAGCTCACAGGCCGAACCGAGTACACGGTCCTCTAATTGTTCACGTGTGATTCTCGATGATGAAGATGTGTATGTCGAGCAACTGTTCGAATCAAAGAAAGAATTGCAATAAGCTGTGCACCAGATTGCTTTAAGGCATAACTTCGAGTTTAAAGTGAAGAAATCAAATAAGTCGACGTACACAATTATCTGCGTTGACGACAGTTGCCATTAGCGTTTGCGAGCGATAAAGATGGATACAAATGAGTTCTTTGTAGTTTGTAAGTATGCACGGGAACATACTTGCGAAGTAGGTATTTGTCGAAATGATCATAGGCAAGCCCGATCATGGTTCATTGGCCGAGAAATAATGCACAAGTTCTAGGATTCACGAACGATCTACAGACCTTCGGACATTATTAATGACGTTCGACAAGAGTACGGAGTGGTCATGAGCTATCAGAAGGCTTGGAAGGCCAAATAATGTGCATTGGAGGACTTGATTGTAACGACCCGGACCTCTCGTCCAAGCCATTATCTTACGTACTGTCCGCTTTGGATGGGCCTTGCGCCCACTCACCCCTCACGACTTTCTGTCGCGTCCCTCAGGATTCAAACTCTTGACCTCTACATAAGATAGACTTAACATGAATCCTGGGGGACGCGATAGAAAGCCATGAGGGGTAAGTGGGCGTAAAGTCCACCCAAAGCGGACAGTACGTAAGATAA